AAAAACCGAGCCCAAAAAACCCAAAGAGAAAGAAAAAAAAAAAAAAAAAAAAAAAAAAAAAAAAAAAAAAGAAAGAAAAAGTTGATCTCAAGAGCCAGCATTCGATTCTCCAACACCTACATTCCTACTTACTGTAGTCTACCTGCTTCTTTTTGCCAAGAAAGCCTCTTCTGGACTTGACTTTTCTTCTGCCAAGCCTGGAAGAATCAATCACTTCTTCGTATTTACTTAGCTGGATTTCAGGACCTTCTTCCTGGCTGGTTGTAAACACCTGCCACTCATGCTCCAGAGAAACAGCCCATTAGAAAAGACTCCTGTGACACACTTGGGCCTAAAAAGAATCATCAAAGTAGTTTTCCATTACTTGCTTTAACAAATTGAAGGAGTTGACTGTTTCACAGTCTCAGTGTCCTAAACAGGATGCAATTCTTCAAGCTTTTTGCTTATGAATTGGAAAGCACTAGATAATTGAAAATTGAGCCCTGGTGCTCTCTAAAGGCTGTGACTTTCATCAAATGTTTGCTTTTCCACACTCACACCTGCATTTCGCTATAATAATATAGCCTAAACAGAGTTTAAATAGAGATGTGTCTAATGTAGAATGCAGAAGCTAAAGGAAAGATTTCTGTTTTTAAAAGAGATTCCCATAAATGATTTAGCAAATCTGAGCATATAATCTGCCCAAAGTGCCAGCACACTTTGCTTCAAGCAGCCAGTTCTGCAGGCAAAGCTGTGGTTTTCTTGTTCCTTCCGTGAGCTGTGGCTGCCATTTCTTCACAGTCCAGCCCTTGGTGATGCCTGAACCAGGGATGGATTTCTCATTTGTGCATACAAGTGGTTTCCTTGAATTATGAGCCTCAAAGTTCCAAGACACTTACAGTCTGGGTGGCCACACAGGTATAAGTGCATAAAAGTCTGTGCTTAGCATGGTTGAAGGAGTAAATGTATTCACTTCAAACAACTCGTCTCTCTGGGAACATGTTAACAGCACCCCATCAGGAAGAGGCATATTTGTGGTCAAAATGTACTAAGCAATGGTACAAGAAGACACACACCAAGAGAAGTTAGAACACCAAGAAGCAAAATAAGTCCAGCTCCTTGTGGGAAAGGATCCTTCTCCTCCCTCCACTAAAATGTCTTAGCTCCTGGAATTCAATAGAAGTGCCAAAAGGGAGGTTATATCTGTGCACCCAGCTGTAAGCCCAACAGTAGCAGACACTAAAATCTAGACTTTCAAAAAGAATTTTTAAAAAAACATAAAAATAACATTTCAAGAAAGGGTTTCCTACGTTTTGGCCAGTTACTCAAAATAAAGACTCCTCTGGAAGAGAAAGCTCTTATCCTCTTCAGACATGGAACTGGGGGTCTTCTTCAGTGGTGAGGGCTCCTGTGAGTATCACAACAGAAGGCTGAATGAGAGAGGGCCAGTGCAAACCATACCATGCCCACGGCCTGTCCCAGAGACCAAAGGTTGCCATCATCACATACATCACCTGTGTTCTCCTGGAAGAGGATAGAAGGATGGAGGGGAAGTTTCCACCAAGAATAATGGATGAAAATTTTCTGAATCTGGAGATTCATTTTTCTCTTCTGAGTAGTCCGGATATCCTAAAAACTTGTTCTTCTAAATGGCAAGGGAACTCTTAAAAAGCGTTAACCATTGACCTGGAAAAGTTATGCATATTGCAAGTACCCAGCCTTCTATCTTTCTTCTCTTTTTGTGATTTTCCTCCCATCTATCTACGAGCAGAATCATTCTTGCTTATAAAGGATATATTTACCTATTAAAATAAAACTGCCAAACTGAGTAGTATCATGATAACCATTATGGTTGTATGAATTTGATTCTGTTGGGTTATATTTGCACTTGAACTAAAATTATCTACAGATGTATTTTTTACTATAGAATAGGTGCACCCCTAAAAAACTGTCAGGAAATCTTTGAAAATAAAAAATTATCTTGTGAATGTTGGGAGAGCACATTGTTTCTAATAGCACTGACATGAATTATTTAGTAGAGAAACAATGTGGATTTATAGAGAGCCTAATAGGTGAGGGATATGAAAGAAATATAAGACACGATCTTTGCCCTCAATTAGATTCCAATTCAGGAGGTTGTGCCAAGAATTTGGACTCTCGGTTATTTTCAGTTATTGAATTTCCCCAAAATGAGGCCACCTATGCAATATACAACATCCAAGACATTTTAGTCTCACTTTCATGCCAGTGAAGCAGACTGTAATAAGCCAATGGTGAGAAAATGCCCCTTCCTCATAGATGAGAGAATCCTGACCTTCCTAGGTATATAGGACCATCCAAATTGCAAAGGCAATTGCCGAGGATTGAGTAACCTCTACAAAAGCTGAGCATCCACCCACTCCTACTCCTCCTTCCATTTCCTTCTGTATTAGTCAGTTTCCTATTATTGTCACAAAATACCTGATCATTGGTGCTATACAAAAAATGAGGTTTTGTTAACTCATAGTTTTGGAGACTGTAAGTCCAAACCACATGGTGCCCCTTGTGAGGGGCCCCTGGACTGTGTCACCTCATGGAAAATGGTATCACAATAAGCAGGAGAGTGTGCAAGCGGGAGAGAACACATGTTAAGATACAGAGCCCAAGAGCAGGGATGAGGGGGAGTAATAAGTCATTTTTGCAAGAACTAGCCCAGAGTCCCATGAGAACTCTATTAATCTCTTCCAATGACAGCATGCTGAATGAGTTAAACACATCCAACTAGGTCCTACCTCATAAAGGTTTCACCTCTTAACATTTCCACAATCAGGATTAAGTTTCCAACACATGAACTTTGAAGGACATATTTGTACTACATCCAGACCATAGCAATTTCCCATGCTGTTCTTCCTTTGTTCACTGATCACATACACAGCCACCTAGGAACAGACATGCACAGGCATGCATGCGCACATACATGTACACACACTTTCTAACATCTTGGCTCATGCTTCATGGTTACCTCGGGCCTTCTACAGTGAGATCTCATTGTGGTGAGTTAAGCATGATCAGTACTTAGCTCTGGGCTCTCACTGGCTTCATCCTTCCTCTGTATCTTCTCCAGTGAGAGAAGAATCAGACAAAGGTGAGGAAATCTCTCTTATACCCTCTAATTAAACATGTCCATAGCTCTTGTCCATCTATGTCTACGTCCTGCTCTATCCTGAGCAAAATTAGAATGACTCATTGCCCCATAGCTCCACTCTGTTGGATTAGTGATAGCTGAGAATGCATCCAGATGGCTCGGAGGCTATGGCCTTCCAAAGGTCTGTTGATAATTTGATGGTAAGTGCACCAGGAACAGTACTATATACTGTCAGAACTCAGGGAAATTATAGCTCCACTGGTATATCACTCTCTGAGCAGCTAAATGTGTTAAGTGTTTCTAACACAAATCTTGTTCTGAGCTCTGTGGCATTTGGGCACCTCTTCTTAATGCCCTCTTCTTCTGGCTTCTATGATACCACCATGTTCTTTTAGTTTTGCCTTTGCCTCTATTAAGAATACAACAGTAGGGCTCTGGGTTTTTGCTGACTGGTGAGATGTCAGATGAGGAAGAGGATCCTACATTTGAGGAGGAAAATGAAGAAATTGGAGGAGGTGCTGAAAGTGGACAGGGTAAAAGAAAGAGACTTTTTTCTAAAGAATTGCGATGTATGATGTATGGGTTTGGAGATGACCAGAATCCTTATACTGACTCAGTGGATATTCTTGAAGACCTTGTCATAGAGTTCATCACTGAAATGACTCACAAGGCAATGTCCATTGGAAGACAAGGTCGAGTACAAGTCAAAGATATCGTCTTCTTGATTCAAAAGGACCTGAGGAAATTTGCTAGAGTTAAAGACTTGCTTACTATGAATGAAGAATTGAAACGAGCTAGAAAAGCATTTGATGAAGCAAACTATGGGTCTTGACACCTTGTGTACTTTCTGAAATGTCATTATTTTCTATGGAAACCATATATGTTTATTTTCTGTAGTATCGTCCTGATGCTTAGGCATGTACATGAGAGGAAGAAACACAAGTTTTCAGCCTTTATTTTCATGTCTTTGTTTTTAGAGCATTTGGTTCCAACCCTTAATTGCCTGCCTTTATGTGACCATACTTGAATTACTTACTAGATTTTAATGACTATATATAAGTTATGACTGCAAACCATGCAGTTCCTTCTGCCTTTGGACTGTCTGAAGAATAAACTTGTATTATATATTAGATATATTCATGCCATTATAAGCTGTATGCTAGCTGTTTAATAGGTAAAATCTCAGTGGCCTTTTTGACTGACAGCTAAGGCATGTACTTCATGTATTCTGAAGTTTTTAGACAGCAGTCATCATTTTTGTGTGTAAGGAGACAGTGTAGGAAATTATAAGTTTTTGTAAGAAAATTTGTTTTACTATCTTTTCTAAAGATAACTTTTTTGTGTGTTTGTTTTTGACAAAATAAATTTCATGTCAGTGCTCCTGTGTTAAAGCTTTTGTTGATTTGAAAGCCTTTTGGC